GGAAACCAAATGGACCCAGGTGCAAGAACAGATATTGCTTTAACAACTGCAATGAAACATGCAGATACTATGTTTGTACTGTTCAGACGAACTATAAATGACTATTCTTGTTTCTACAACCCTGGTATTAAATATCATATAAACATAGATGGCAAATATTATCCAAGAGAAGAATATTCTACAGTTGAGGATATGAGGTCATACAACTTGACATTAGATGCTATGAACTTTAACAACAACTTCACAACAACCATTAACCCTGAAATGCAAAGTTCTATTATGCCATATGTGAAAGTATGGACTCATACAGGAGGTCAAAAAACTCAATATACAAATGGAGACCGTTCAAACTTTTGGCTTGGCATTCCATTTGCTGACTCAGAAGACTTTATGGGTGGTATTTCAACTGTTGGTACAGTTCAAATACAATATACTGGTGACAGAGACGGTCCATATGAACTGAGAGCAAAGAAGTTTACAAAACCAATAGCACTTTTCACGGAAGATGCTCTTTTGAAGATTCGTTCGATGAAACCTGCTGGGGCTCCTCAGATTGGCATAACGACAGCTTCCATCGAGCAGATTTTGGCAGCAGGTCAGTAAGTTGTTCTTGAACTGACTTCTCTCCGTCAAATATTGACAGTACGCCAGTTTTGACATAAAATTGTATTATAAACTTTACCTTTAGAAATATCTGTAAGTTTTGTTGTTATATTTTTGTCTGCTTCAAGAACTTTCACCATTTCAGTTATACCAACTTTCTTTGCTTTATGAAAAATTTTGGTTCAGCAAATATTGCTATTCTATAACATTTACCATTGTTTGTATAAAGAACTATTCTGTCAATGTATTTGTATTGTTTGTGTGTGTAAACTTTGTTCTGCTTCAATTCGAAGAGATACTCGAATACGTCCATCTTTTTATTCTAAGTAAAATGTCATTTCCGAAAAATAGAAGCGTGAGTGTTTCAAAAGGTTTAATGGCGGTGGCAGATGTGAAGTTAAATTCACCAACTCAAACAAACAGTCAAAGTGTTGTTGTCAATGTCAAAGAAGAGATGTTGAAGTGGGGAAACCATACGAAGACGAAGATGGTATAACAATAGTTCCTGTAAAAGAACAACCAACATACCCTGAAGTTAGCAGAGACTTAAGTTCTGTTGCAGATATTCGAAACGACTACCAACAACTTAAAGACAAACTTAAAACTCAGGAGAAGATTTGTCAAGCTTTGGGTATAATGTTAAACTTGGTCGAACACAACCCTGTAAAAGTGAACTCATATGTCATTGCACCTCATGAAGTTTTGAAAGAACTATTGAAACTTTTGACAGAGGCAGACGATATAAACATCAAAGAAATAGAACCCGACGTTAGTTGCTGTGGTGTTTCATATAATGTCATTGACAAGATATACGTTATGAAAGGGGTGAAACGTTGAACTTAAAATATAGTTTCCCAGACGTTATAAAAATATTTGACGACCACAACATTTCATTAAATTTATTTGCTAAGTAAATGGCAGAAGACATAATGGTTTATACTATTACGACTAAAAACCCTGAGTCATATAATTCTATAACAACAAACTTACAAAGTCCTCAAGGACGATATTGTAAACTAACCTTAAACACAATGACGACTAAAGCCTGTTTTGCTCTTTTGACACCAGAAGACTTTATTGTTGTGAATGGTAAAAAATACTCCTTTGAAGATACTTACTCAGATATACCACCAACAGGTTTTGTTGACTTATTTAATACTTTAAGACGGTGTAACATGTGCTGCAACTAGAGCAGGTTTCATTATGTTTGGATGTCCGACTGAGTTTACTATAAACGATATGAGCTATAATACAAAACTTATTTCTGGTTTTTACTACCAACAGTTTCCTATAACAGGAAAAGGTGTCATACAAGGAATGTCTATTCCATTGACATTAAGCACACCAATTCTTATATATTGTTTCAAACTTAGGTTCAAAGTGTTATTCGAATGTCGACAGAAACTATTATGACCAAAAGATACTTATGCGTATAAACAATACTTTCTCTGCTGGTTTGCCTATTGTTCATTCGAATGCAGAATTTTCAACCTTAGTGAACTCAAACACTTTGGCAAGTATAACGTTGACATTAGTTGACGCAAACTTTGTTCCTGTAAAACTTTTATGTCCTATGTATTTGTCAATGACGGCAGAAAGTTTCGAATTGGAAGATGCAACTGGTGAAAGTATTGTATTACAAGAACAACTTCAACAACAAATAGCTCAAGAACAACAAATGCAACAAATGGAACAACAAAGTCAAGAATAAAAAAATAATATTTTTTTTATTTTTATAAAAATGTACAGAATAGATGTTTCAGATTTTTATGACTTCCAAGCATTCAGAAATATGTGTCCATTTCGAGACTATAACAAAGCAGTCGAGAATTTGAAACGTTTAGTCATTTATGTCGACTCTGCCCCAGAATGTTATGTATGAAAGAATGGGATGTGTCTTTAACAAACCTAAAGCGACAATAGTTTCAGAACAAGAATGTAGACAGAAACTTAAGAAAATAAAAGTCGTACAAGTTGGTATGAAGATGTTAGATGCTTGGGATATCTTATTGTCAAAGTTAGAAGATTTTTCAGTTCGTGGTATAAAGTTCTATACACCATCTCCAAACTTCTATTCTATCTTCACTGGATATAAATATGAACAAGTAGAATGGAAAGAAAATGTTATAGAAGCTTGGTTAGACCATGTCAAAGAAATTATATGCAATGGAAACGAAAGAGTCTATGAGTATATCTTATGTTGGTTTGCAAACATCTTACAACATCCAAGTGCTAAAAATGAAACTGCTCTCATCATAATTGGAAAACAAGGAACAGGTAAGAACACTTTCTTTACAGATATCTTATGCAAACTGTTAGAGGCTATTCGAACCCGAATATGACAAACTTAGAAAACATCTGCGGTAAATTTAACTCTTCAATAGAGAATATGAAACTTATAGTATGTAACGAACTTCAAAGTATAGATACAACAAAGGTTTTAAACTCAGATGCTTTGAAGAGTCTTATAACAGACAAAGTTGGAGTTGTTGAAAGAAAGTATAAAGACCAAAGAGTTTGTGAAAATGTTGCAAACTTCATTATGGTTTCAAACAATGTTGTTCCGATGAAGTTAGAAAGTTCTGACAGAAGATATGTAGTTGTCAGAACGTCAGATTCTCATATGCAAGATACAGAATATTTTGACGACTTAGCAGAAACTTTGACATCTGACTTTTACAACCACTTGTTCTCATATTTCATGACATTAGATATTTCTAAGTTCAATCCAAGACAAATTCCACATAGAAGAGACAAACATTGTTAGAAGCAAACAAGAGTGTATATGAACTGTTCATAGATGAACTGACTTTGTGTCATTAGATGAAAGGTCATTGTACGATTCATATAAACAATATTGTCAAGAATATGGTTATATGGCAGCGTCTAAACGAACATTCTTGGCAAATGTCAAAAATCTTTTAGATGTTCAGAACGGCGTATATACAAAGAAAAATTTTTCTGAGTAAATTTTAAAAAAAATATTTTTTTATCCGATAGAAAAGATGGCAAAATTCATCTCAGTAAATAAGTACATGACAGAAGTCAAAATAAGTTAGCTCCATTCGCATATTTGAATGTTTACTTCTACAATTTTGAAAAGTCTACATTTGACAAAATTTGGAACATTGCACCAGTTAAGTTTGCTGTTGTTAGAAAAAGTGGTGCAACTTTTGAAGACTTAGACATAGAAGGTTTGTTAGCAGTCAAAGAAAATTTTGACAGAAAGTTCTCAAAACTCGAAGAAGGCAAAGCATACAAACTTGTTATACCTTATGAACCAAAGAAAGCAGACGACTATGAATATTATGAGTCTAAGATAGTTGAAGTTCAAGGTAAATTGGGTAAAAAGATTTTAGAGTCTAAGCCAGTGTTTGCTCCTAAAGAGGAAGAGAACATTGACATTGACCCAGAAATGTTCTAAAAATAAAATTTTATTTTTACATGTCAAATTTCTTTTTCTCTGGAACTGGTTCAGGTTCTTTTTTCTCTTCTTCTACTTTCTTTTCTTTCTTCTCTCTCTTCTTCTTCTTCTTCTGGTGGAGTTATGTCAAATTTCTCCGAACCATATTTCTGTAAAAGTTCTTTGTCCTTTAATAGCTCTTCTATTCTGTTTTCTATTTCATCTTCAAGAACAGCGCATGTGCCTTCTTTGCATTCTAAGAACTTTTGTTGGACTTCATCTTTCCAATCGGCGTCATCTCTGTCAACAAGTCTGTCATTGACAAATTTTAAGACTGCTCTGCTTAATGTTTTATGGTTCTTGTCATATTCCCAGAAACAGAACTTTAGAACAAATTCACCTTTCTTGTTTACACTATGTAAGATTTTATGGTCGACAGATGTTTTGCTGTCGAAAAGCTTGTCTCGAATATAGATAGCGAAATCGCTAGACATTTTCTAAAAGATAAAATTTTTAATTTTTCTAAAAATATGTTAGAAAAAAAGTTTGCTGACATTGACAAGAAATTTGAGAATGTTTTAAACAAGAACAAGAGGAAGTTGGAAAATGCTCAGATAAAACCCATACATGACAAGTTCTATTTGCTCAGAATGGTATAACAGGTCTAATTGCACCGCCTGGGTCGGGTAAGACTTTCACTTATCTTAAAATGGCTGCACAACAACAAGAACTAGATGAGAAGAACCCATTCTATGAGTTAGTTAGTCATTTGTAGTACTTCTGGTCAATTTGACCAAACCGTCAATTCGTTCAAAGATATTAAAAAAGTCTAAGTTAGTATGTAAAAGACTCTGAGTTGTTAGATTGGATAAAGAAGTACCAAAGAAGAGTTTTGAAGTACAATGCTATAAATGAGTATGTCAATTCGAAGTTTAAAGACCCAAATGAGGAAATGCAGAGAATATTAGAGAAGAAACACTTCAGAAACAAACAGAAAGAGATAGAATACATTTCGAAGAAATTGCAATCTTACGATTGGAAGACTTACCCTCATAGATGTCTTCTTATTTTAGATGACTTTGCTTCTCATCCTTTGTTAAAGAACAGAGAACAAGATATGTGTCGAATTCTTAAGAAGCTCAGACACTTTAACATCTCAGTTGTCATTTGTGTACAGACAGCAAAGAGTTTAAGTAAGGATGTTAAAAGAATACTTACTGATATCATACTTTTCCCTGGATTGTCCGAAGACGATTTCATGGAACTTATGAAAGAGTCCATGGCAGGTAAGTTTGACAGACATGAACTATGGGAGAAGTACAAAGTCATACAAGACCCTCATACTTCTTTCAGAATTCATATCTACGCAAACAAAGTTCAAATTGTAAAAAGTCAAGCTTGAAAAATAAAGAGTTTTGGCGACCAGGGTTTTTTCACTACTCGCTGTTCTTCTCTCGGTTTTCCGAGGGAAGCAAGCATATGAGGAAATTCATGATTTTTGTTGCTGAATTCAATAAAAATATATTTTAGGTGAAGAGGTGAGATTTCACCTCTTTTTTCACCTGTTTTTTCACCTCAGTTATTTTATAAGCGTTTCACATGGTAAACGTTATTTTTTAAATTTTGTGAAAACTCAACGGTTTGACACAAGCCCTAAAAATTATTTTACTCAGAATTTTGTTGCTGAATTCAATAAAAATATATTTTAGGTGAAGAGGTGAGATTTCACCTCTTTTTTCACCTCTTTTTTCACCTGTTATTTTATAAGCGTTTTACATGAATTGTATGATGTATATTTGAAATCCTAAACAATTTCGTAGCTTCTATTTCTTCTGTCAGTACATCGAATGTTTTAACGATACCGAAAGTTTCTTTATACTTCTTCTTGACGTCAGATAGAAGGAAATCTTCTGCTGTTGGATAGTTTTTATTAAGAAATGTCAACATATCCATTTTATCTTCTGCTGGCTTTTCTGCTTCTTTCTTTAAGTCTGCATAGTCGTTTCGCATTCTTTCTATCTCTTTGACTGAGTAGTTATATTTCCTCATTGCTGCTTTACATTTTGAACATTGCGGGTTCATTTTTGCGTTATATTCTGAAACCTTACCTGCTAAAACAACTAAGGCGTCAATTGCTCTCTTCATCTCGAACATAGCGGGTCTTATTTGTTCGTTCCATACCTTACCCCTACTATCTTTATCTCTTATTTCCCAAACACATTTTGCAACTAATGAAACAAAGTTGTCGTAGGTCTTAAATTCTTCGGATTTGTAAAGGTCAGAGATGTTCTTATATAACATGTCGCAATCTTTGTCCATAACTTTATGGTTGCAATGAAAACCAAGGAATTCATAATTTACCTTTCGTATGAACTTCTTTATTTCTACTGAGTCAGTAACTTTAACTTCAATTTCGTCGAATTCAGGAATAGTGAGTTTTTGTTGTTGGATTTCAGGCAATTTGGGTAAATGGTCAATAATGTCCTGCATTTCATAAAGATACTGTTCATTTGTTTCATCTTTCGCACTACAGTCTAAATTACTTGTTAAAAGTTCTTGCTTTATCTTCTGGATTTTTGTTTCGAAAGTATATGAAGAAGGAATGAAGTTTTTCATCTCTACCAACATAGATGTTGGATTCATAACTAACGAGTTTGGTGCTGTAGTTGTTTGAACTGTTGTTGTGCCGATTGTTGAAATCATATTTTTTATACAAAATAAAAAAATAAATAAAATAAAAAATAAAACTAACTTTATTTTTTATTTCGGGAAAATTCATGAGGTGAAAAAACAGGTGAAAAAAGAGGTGAAATCTCACCTCTTCACCTAAACATTATTTTTGTCTGATTTACGCTCATTACGATGAAGTTTCGACAAAACATTTACGTTCATGTTTGACAAAACATTTACGATGAAATCATGAAAATTCATGAGGTGAAAAAACAGGTGAAAAAAGAGGTGAAATCTCACCTCTTCACCTAAACATTATTTTTGCTGAATTCAGCAACAAAGTTCAAATTGTAAAAAGTCAAGCTTGAAAAATCTAAGTGTTTAGTCTTAGTAAGATGGTAGCTTCTTAAAGCATATGCCGTCCTTGAGTTTTAGGTACGTGAAGAGAAGTACAATGAATTCAATTACGAGTACAATTGCAATGACAACTAAGGCAACTATTTTTGTCTTTTGCCAGCAAGGGTACTTCTTCTCTTCCAATGGTTCGGCAGAACTATACTCACTCATGAGAAATGCCAAAACGGTTTAATAGAAAAAGTGTCATTTTTTTCATGTCCGAAGACTCGAAGGTGCAACACTTCCAAAATACCGACGAACTCAGAAGAGCAGCATGGCAGTATGTTCTTGACAACTTCTTTGAGTTCTCCAGGAACACCTTGGAAAATGCTGAAGAACTCCGACACAGAGAATTTGGAGAAATTGCACTCCAATACTACCTTGACAAACAAAGGGTAAACAAAGGGTAAAATAAGACTAAAAACTTAACGTTTAAAAAGTGACATTTTTATGAGCTCCGAGTCACCGAGAAAACTTGGTCAGATGTTAGCAGCTTACTTCCCCGAGGAGGATGGAAGCGTTACATACGTAAGGTTCAAAAACAACGAACCTGGAATTGCGTACCAAATTCGCAATTACATGACCATGGAAGAGTACGAAAGGTTCCTACAAGAGAAACCAGCTCTAAACAACTCAGAAAAGAAAGAATAAAAAGTTTAACTCGTAATTGTTTATTTTTTTACTTGTATGGGCAAGCTGCAAGAATGAAGTCGACTATCTCAGTCTTTGTCTTGACCAGTTGGACTGCTCTTGCGAGTACGTCTGTTTTGCGGTCTCCAGCTGGTGTCTGACCTTCGTAATTGCGCATGTTCTTGAGAGCTCCAGTTGTAAATGATTGTAAGATGAAGAGTCTCTCAGACTGCTTGAGGTAGTCTTCACGGTCACGAACCGAATCTGTGGTACGAGTCGAATCGGTCGATTTGAGGGAAGAGACTGAAAGCCTGTCGTCTTCCATAGGGGCAGTAGCATAATCTTTGCGTAAGCGGTTCAGACCTTCCTCGAACTCTTGGTCTCTCTTGGATTGAGATTGGAATTGTGGGGCAGGGTTTTGCATAAACATCCAAGGGTTGGGGAAGTAAGGCATAGGCTGAGGAGGAGGGTAGTTCGGGAAGCCTTGTGGTAGGTAGTAACCTTGAGGTGGAAATTGGTAGTAATTTGGTGGAGGGACTTGCTGGAACTGAGGTTGCTGAGGTGCAGGGGCTGGTGCTTTAGGTTCCTCTGGTTTGGGAATCGGCTCGGTTGGTGGGACGTCGGACATTCGTTTGTGGCTTAACCGTCGGACCACAACGATAAAAATCTCTGCTCCTAGCAGTACTGCTACTGACAGTAGCAGTACTTTTACTGACAGTAGCAGTACTTTTTCTGACAGTAGCAGTACTTTTTCTGACAGTAGCAGTACTTTTACTGACAGTAGCAGTACTTTATCGTCGAAAACCCTCTCAAATTTTCCTTTTTACTGCTCCTAGCAGTACTTTTACTGCTCCTAGCAGTACTGCTACTGACAGTAGCAGTACTTTTTCTGACAGTAGCAGTACTTTTACTGACAGTAGCAGTACTTTTACTGACAGTAGCAGTACTTTTTCTGACAGTAGCAATGGTCGAGGTCGAACCGACCGACGAGGCAATTTACCTAATTGAAATTAACGAGCTTGTTAAAGACTTCCTCAGGCAGAATGTAAAAGGCAAGCTTGTTAACTGTTGGATAACGGGAAGGGCTGCCTTGAATCTCGAGACTTCGACTGGAATTCCAATTCAAATACCAGACGGGACAGCCTACGACGACATAAAGCAAGCAAAGAAAGAAGCTCTTCTCAAGTTCTTTGCCAAGCGTCCTTGGATACAACTTCCAACCAGAGAGAACCCTTTCCCAAGAATGAGCCAAATTCTCAAGGGTCTCCTTCACTTCTCGGGTCAGCCGTTCTACATAACCTGTGAAGGCGACATCCAACCAGTTCAGTAAACCTTAACGTTTAGAGTAAAAACATTTTTTTTCATTTTTTGAATGAAGCAAGTTAAATTCGTCCCACACCAATCTCAATGGACCGATGAAGAGTTTCAAGCTATGGTTGAAGGCGTTGAGAACGACATAGACGGCGAACTTGAAGGAGCTCAAATCACAATTGCAACCAAAATTGCAGAAGTCAAGGAACAGATAGCTCCACTTAAAGCTACCAAAGCTACTCTTGACCTCATGGATAGTTACCGTTTAGATGTCAAGAGTGGAATAAGACATTTAAAATTAAAACTTCTAAACTACGAAGCTATACTCCAAAAGTTAGCAGAAATGAGAAGACTTTACCAGAGCTACTTACATGTAAGGGACTTACCTTCAAGCAATCCGACCAAAGATGAATTTTCTGACATTGTCCCAATTTTGTCCGAAAGTCAGCTCAGATGTTTTGAACTGCTCCCAACATATCCAGAATATGAACGTTTGCCTGAACTCTTCCGCAATCTCAAAAAACGTTTTTTGGTTCTCATGTTCGAAACTTTTATCGGAAGAGACAACAAACGTTCAGAAGAAGAACAAGATATTATTTTAAACTTGTTGTATGACTTAACCGTCATAACAAGCTTTTTGAAGTAAAACCGTCATTCTCAAACCACTTCATTTTTTCGATGTCCGAACAAGCACCGAAGCCGAACACAATGGCAGATGTCCTTTCAATGTTGCCAGACAAGCGCCCAGTTCAAATTCAAATTTTGAATTTGAAAGCTCATCTGACAAACACCGTTAAGACTCTCCAAAGTAGTCTTATGGAAGAGATGACCAAGCTCAAAGCCGATGTCCTCATGAACCAAGCTTCCAATGAGAAATGCCTGAATGATTTGACGGAAACCTTGCGCAATTACGAGAGAGAGAACCGAGACCTTGCCAGACTCATCTACCGTTTCTTCGAAGAGATAGACGCCATCTGGAAGGTACTCGGAAAGGACAGAACATGCAACACCGTAATTCGTGAACACAGAATTGAAGAAGGAATTGTCGAGGAAGAAGAGGAAGAAGAGGAAGAAGATGAAGAAGAGAAACACGAAGAAGAGGAAGTTTGGGCAACCCTTGTTGCCGATGACGCTTACGAAATTTCCCAACCCTACCCATACCAAATCCGCAACAAGGAGACAGGCAAGGTTCTTACCCCAGTCCTCAACAACTTGGGACACTTGAACCTTAACCTTCGGAATCGCGGTTCAATCTCCATGGGCAAGCTTGTCGCAATTCAATGGGTTCCAAATCCAGACAAGAAGACGAGGGTCAGACACATTGACGGTGACAAGCTCAACAACCGTAAGGAGAACCTCGAGTGGTTCTAAGAGTAAAAAAAATTTATTTTAGGGGGAAACCCCAAGTAAATTTAGGTGTTTATTTGGATAAGTATGTTAAATTAATGAGAATTTGGACAAGTAGTTCCTGACCCCTGAATTGGACTCTTTCGTCATCCCAGTTGCGTAGGAGGTCGTCCCAGAGGAGTTGGTAGAATTGCCAATCCAAGGACGATTTGTCCTCCCAGGCATTGAGGATGTACTGCTCGTAGAGTTTCATGACCTCTGCCTTGCACCAGACACCCTCTCCCTTGGAACGTAAGGCTTCTTCGAAGTGCTCGAATGCGATTGGCTGCGTGACCATCTGAAATGACACTTTTTGTCCGTTTGGTCAATGTTCGTGTCTCGTGCCATAGTCGACGAAAATACAGACAAACAGGTTATATATGAGTTTGAGACCAAGAATGGTGTAACTCGACCTGTCCGATTCAAATTCGAATAAAAATTTTTTATTTCATGCAATGTTTAACTATTTCACCATCTTCTTTAACACCCCAGTACTTCCTTTTCGATATTACATGAACTTCGGTGAAAATTTTGTCCAATTTGAATTGACCCATCTTTTCACCGACCATGCCCATTTCAATGAGTTTGTTGTACCCTTCTTCGTTCGTCATGAGTGCGTCAATGTTCTCATAGTAAACCTTCACTTTGGATTTGACTTCGGAGAAGAATTTGTTGTAGTTGTCAAGGACTGCCTTTGCGAACTGAGGGTAGGACCAATGTTCGACAATAGGTTTTAATGTGGTTACTAAGCCACTTTGACCTTGAGTGAATTCGTACTTCAAAACAAAAGGAGAAAACCTTTCAACAAAGTTGTCGACCTTCTCATAATGTTTACTCTTCATCTCTTGAGGTTTCTTAATGGAATATCCCCATGTCGAATTCATAAGCAATTTGAGTGTCATTGCAAGTTTGGGGTTTGAAGCTTTCCTAATATCATACAGTTGTTGTATGACTTTTCCAACTGTATAGTTCCTTCCTGGGAACTCACCATCTTCGTTTGGAATTCCAGTTGGAATATATTGGACGAACCTCATGTACGCAGCGTTAAGGTCGACATAGTATATCTTTCATCTGAGTCGAACTTGTCGCAACCAATTGGTCCAGTTTGTGGAAATTCAAGTGAGTCTCTTATCTTCTGAGAAACTTCTCCTGTTATCTCATAAACATCGTCGAAGCAACCTGTTTCATATAAAACCTTCTGACCTAACTCAGATGCTCTCCAATACAATTTGACGTCAATTGGATGTCTCAATGGAAGTTTGTTTATAGCATCTTGAAGTTCTTGCAACCTCATTGGAAGTTCTTCTGGTTCAGGTTGGTATCCGAACAATCCAACTCCTTTTGGAATGTGTACTTCTTTTGTACTAGAACTTTGTCTGGAACAACTTTTGGTCTTGCTAACAATGAAAAGTTTGTTTCGTCTTTTGGTACAAAAGTTTCTGTCAGCTTGTCATCTGGAATTGGTTCCAACAAACCTTTCTCGAAAAGAATGTTTACAGCTCTGACAATGTTGCACTTGCCTTTTCCGAACAATGGGTTTGTAAGACTTTCGTTCAACATGAAGTGGTTGTGGACAATTGCAATCTTCAACCATGGTAAGTCTTTGTCAACAACATAGTCGTCATGTGAAGAACCTTTAGCTGTAGGTATGTTGACTCGGATATTGACATTTGCCAACGGTGCAATTTTTGCCAATTGACCTCTGAGAATGTACCTTGTCTTCACACATGACTCAAGATACTTCATCTTCTCATCTGTAACAAGACCAGAGTTCCTGAGACATGTAAGAATGCAAGGTTCATTGACAATTGTTTCAATTGAATTGTAAATTCCATACCTTGTCAAGTCAATGTCAGACTTATTTGAAACGGGAAGTATTCCAGCATGTTGTCTGACTGCTTGAGGGTTAGGTTGGTACCATTCAAATTTTACACTTGCAATTCCTTCAATTGCATTCAAATGTCTGAGTCGGAGTCAACCATTTGTTCTCTTCTTTGTAGTCTTGAAAGCGTCAGAAGCATTGCAGCTGTTGTGACATTGCCATGTGCATAAGTAAATGTGACCGTCCAAATCTGTTATGGTCAATCTGAGATTGTTATCCTTTTCTTATTTCCATCTTGAATTGCAGCAAGTACTCCCATGAAGCCTTCTTTGTTCTTTCCTTCGTCAAAGTTTACTGTAAAGGTTCGACCAGATGTAATTTGACTTCTAACTTCACGGTACTTTTCATATGCATATCTTGTTCTTTCCATGGGAGCATGTGCGTCTTCACCTTTTCCTTTTTTCCGTCTCAAAGGATGCAATTGTTCGTCATGTTTCCAGTAGAATCTGGCAAAGCCGTCGTGTCCTTCAACTTGAGGTTCACTAACATCGAAAGGCATGTCCATAAGACGTTCTTCTTCTAACCTCTCTAATCTGTTTGGATAATTTGCGCGTGCTGTTTCCAAGTCCATTTCATAGCGAAGACCAGACAGTTTGTCATAGACTTTTATGGGTCTTCCCTTCCTATATTTAAACTTCTTTGAAACTCTCCAACCATATCTTTCTAACTCTGCTTTTATTCTAGCAGACTTTCTATCCATTCTATATGGGGGCATTTTTATAAAAATAAAAAAATGTTTTTTCTTTACTTTACATAACCGCCTGCTGCCATAAGTCTTTGACGCCAACCCATACCAGCTAATGAAGGTTGACTTGGTTTAGTTTGGAAACTAAACTTTGGTTTTGGTTTATCTTCAGTTTTTGGTTTCTCTTCTTCTATCGGTTTTTCGTCACTTTTCGGTTCCTCTGACTTTACCTCACCTGCAGGAACAGTTGTGTCGTCAACATCTTCATAAATATCATATGCCATTTGTTTTTGTTTTCCTTTCAACTTTTTGTGTTTGTTGTAAAGTTTAGAATATTTCGACTCTAAGTCAATGAGATGTTCTATAATGAACTGTTGGTCAGTGAAGTAAACTTTTCCATCTGTTGTCTCGAAAGCTCCTTCAGACTTCAATATTTTATTTGTGAGAGTCTGTTTCTTTTTTGAGATACTAGCCGTTCCATTTCTATGAAAAGTGACTTTGTAGTTAGGGTTTGCATTTCCAGACCTGGCACTTTCTATTATTGAATTTTTCTCTTCATCTGTAAGTTCTTTGACAGGTTTTGACAATGGTTCTGAACTTTTTGTTTGTGGTGTCAAATCTACCGTTTCAACTTCTTCGGTCATTTCATCTCAGTAAAAAATTTTAGTTTGGTTTGTTTTCAACTGGTTGTTTAGGTTTTTTAAGTCGGTCTAAAACTTCCTGAGGTATAGGAAGAACTTGACAAACACGTGGTTGTGTAACTGCTGGAAGTCGACAAATCCATCTTGAACCCATTTGTCTCAATGCTGTATTGTTCATTTCATCTCAGTAAAAAACTTTACATTCCCCAAGTTTGAGGTGGTTGAGGTTGGTTATTGTTTACCCATTGTTGTGCATGGTTATATCCTCTGTTAAAGAATCTTTCACCTTGGTCCATATAGTGTCCTGCTTGGTTATAGTAGTCATTTGCTTTGTTATAATAGTTTCCTGCTTGTCTTCCTACATTGTCCATCCATCCTTGAACTTTTCCTCTTGTTTCAGGATTTGGAATAAGATTTGCTGCATCTCGTGCTACATCCCAACCTTTCTGTACAGTTTGTATAATAGGTTGTGCTTTCTCTTTCAGTATACCTAATGTACTCAAAATCTTCCTTCCAACTCCAAATACACCTCTGGCTATTGTTCCCACTGCGGGCAAAAATCTGGATGCAACTCCTGCTAACGCGCCAAATAAACCCATTTCTTATAGGATAAAAATGACGAATCCAAACAAGGACCCCTATGTTTCTAAGGCAACAAAAAAAGCACTCATGATAAAAATCTTTAGTTCAACACCAAATGCTTGGTTTATGGATATCTTGGAAAACATTCCGAGGTATAGAGAAGATGGACCACCATACTGGTTAATATTTGTTGGTCAAAACACAAGATACTGTGAAGCCATACCATTATGGTCCAAAAATATTTTAGATGTGAAAACTGCTTTGACAATATTCGTTGACAAATACCATCCAACAAAACTGACATCTGACTGTGAAAGTTCTTTCAAATCAGATGATATTAAAACTATCTGCGTTCAAAAAATGTAAACCAATATTTCATTGTCGACCAAAACCATTCTGCTCTTGGTGTCATTGACAGTTGTATAAAATCTTAAGAGACTTAAACCAACCACAAGGTGGTGAAGCAAATGAAATGTCATATGACGACAAATATAGACACTTCTCCATGGCAAAGATGAGACAAGTTTTAAATATTTACAATAACCGTAAACAAAAAGGTTTGGGAAACCATTCCCCCGAAGAAATGAAAAACAACCCGACTTAGAGAAAGACTATATATTTAATAGTTTAGTCAAAAGAGACAAACAAGAAAGAATGCCAGGCTTCAAACTTAAGAAAGGTGACAAAGTAAAAATAGAAATACCTAAACGCGACCCATATGAAAATACTATTGACTATGACAACAATGGGAACTCGACAGGTACTCACATTCGTGTTCGTAAAAATAGAAGAAAGTATACAAGAGAATATTATGAAGTTTTAGGCAAACATGGCAAAATGTACAGACTGCAAGCAGAAGATAAAACTACTATTGTCAGACCTCGTTTCAAACTTGTCAAAGTTCAAGGTGGTATACTTTCAAAGACAGTTCCTAACAAATATAAGACAACTCCTGACGAATATGCTAAAGAAGTTGAAAATGACGACTAAGCATTTCTATACCATGCACAAACTGTCATGTAAGGTGGCATGTATTTTTTACCTAGTCCTGTAGATGTTGTTGTAAAAGTATGTTGGTGGTTTCCTCCTGGTTCAGTTTGTCGAAAAGTCTTTTTTGCTGAATGGTTATAATCTGGAGATAAAACGTCATAGCCAGCTTCATACTCTGAGTTGTATAATGGGTGGTCTCTTAATGAGTGGCTATGGTCGCCAGAAAAGTTTGTTGTACCAGAATGACTATGTGGTGGCAAGTTGTCGACAGATATCGTTTTACTTCCACCTGTTTTCTTTGGAGTGTGTGCACAATACAAAAAACTTTCGAGTATTTGAGTCCAAGTTCCAAAACCAAGTACTACTTCTGGTCTGGTAGAGTTCATTGACGTATAAATAGAACCAACTGGGTAAATGGTTTGAAGTATTTCTGTCTTTAATGTTTGAAGCTCTGTTTTGTCTGCTTTCTTGTCATATAAATCTTGAGCAGTGAATTTAATATTATGTTCATCCTCCATGACATAAACATCTCTACATCTAATGTTTCTCATCGTTGTTATGTCGTCATCCGATGTTAAACCTTGTGGAAAGTTAGGAGGTTTACAATATATTGCATCCCCACCAGTTTCTTCAACCGTTCCTTCAATATTTTCTATACCAACAGTTGCGAAGAAGCTATGTGTATGTCCAACGTCACTTTTCCTGTTTAAGGTTTCTTGTAAGTTTGTAATATTTGCAATGGTATGTGTATGTCCAACGTCACTTTTCCTGTTTAAGGTTTCTTGTAAGTTTGTAATATTTGCAATGGTATGTGTATGGTTCTTATCCGCTTTAAGGTCTAAACATCCTGAAACCCACCCTGTATCGGCTTTACCTTTTAAAATCTTTGTTGTCCGTTCATGGTACCATTCAACCCTTTCTATAATTTTTTCATCTTTTTCATTCACATATTCCTTATCTGCCTTCTTCACTAACGCACTAGCCACACGTGCTAACTCATCGTCAACATACTCTTTGTCAGCTTTGTTGTCAATATCTGCTTTCAAAAGAAGTTCATCTATAGGTTTCTCGTTTAAAGTTCTTTTTGTTGGATTTACACAGACAGTATGGTTCTTACTGTCTTGAAACAGAAACTCATCTGTCAATGGGTTTATCGTCAGTTTTAAGTTTCCTTCTTTCAATGACTCAGATATCTTAGAATAGTTTGAAAAGTTTGTTGTGTTCTTATTTAGAGCTTGCATAATGAGTTGTCGGTTGTGTTGTATTTCTCTCATAGACGCTGTTTCTTTCGACATTTTTATTCTAGATAAAATATGCTTTCAATAGAAAAAGAAAATTCAAGAGTTGCTACAACTAAACCATTAGATGAACTTTTTACGAATGTCGGTCAAAAGTTTGAGACAGAGACCGTAAAGCATGAAGGCTATCGTTTTGACTACCCATTGAGATGGTTAAGAGACCCATCCGTCACAAAAGCTATTGGCTTTCGTAGAATGAAGTTTGTGTCTGTAGAAGATAAAAGTTTTCCATTTATTGTAAGGTTTCATATAGATTATATATCTGAAGGGAAACGAAAAATGTGGGAAGAAATTGAGCTAATACAAGTTGACCTTTCATCTTCTCTACAGACTGCGTTAAAAAATATAGAAGATAAAATAAATTCATGTTATGCAAAATATGCTGATGAATATGCAAATACCGAGAGCACACTTTATGTGAGAATTGTATATGACAAACAAAATTCACAAGTGTCATTTCAAATCTACGAAGACAATCCAAAGAAAGACGAACAAATATATACAGAATTCACTGCAATGTCATGGTATTATTTGCAAAGAATGTTAAATCAGAAAGTCGAACTTCCTTTAGCAAATATTTACAGTCGATATGCAAGAGATGAACCATATTTATTTAAAGATGTTTTCGACCCAGCTGCTATTATTGTTCATGCTTCATTTTCTGGCGCCCAAAACTCTTTCTTATGCTTGGCAAATGACTTTTACGAAAAACCTACAAAGTTATACGAACCACCAAGTGGAAGTATTTCAGACTTTCAAGTATGGTTTACTACAGATGGAAGAAAAAGAATAATTCCATTATACCATGCGTTTTACTTAGAACTTAGTTTCATATACAACTACTATCGAACGGTAAAAATATAATTTTTTAATACGGTTGAGGTGTTGGATTTGGTTGCCAACTAGACTGTGGTGCAGGTTCAGGCTGTTGTATAACAGGAGCTTGCTCTTCTGGTTCAGGGTCTTTAGGTATAATACCAACGAACTGACCTACTCTTTTACCAATATTTTTGACTCCGTTCCAAATTCCTCTTCCTACGGTTTTTATTCCATTCCATATACCTCTTCCAACATTTCGAAAGAAGTTTCCTATTCTTCCAAAGAAACCCATTTTACTATATGTAAAAATCTAATGTCCGCCTAGTCTCTTACGTTTCCTGTTGAGTTCCATAGCATTTTTTAACTGGAGCTCATACATTCTATTTCTCTCCTCTGGTAGAAAACATACTCTGGGTCAAACTCCTGTGTTTGCGTTCATCTGCATAGAGTTGTTTATATCCCACTTCAGGGTTTGTATAAAACTCTTTTCCATCTCATATTTGCATACCATGGTGGCAAACCTAACGCAGCGTCATTTGACATGGCAGTTTGCATTTGTACATCTGTTGGCACTTGACCATAGTTTGCCATTGCAGTTTGTATTCTAACTTCATTTGGAATATTCTCTGGGTTTTTGGTTGTCCAGGTTGCTGTGCATTCGCTAAGTTCTGTGCGTCCATTTAATATTAGATAAAATATCTCTTACGAGTACATATGCTGAACATTTGCTGGTATTGGTTCATCTTCAATATTCTCTATATCTTTCTCTGCCACGTCAAATAGTAAATGACACAATGGAAAAAACCTAAAACAAGTAGTCCTATTTCAAACCACATTTACTTACTAGTGTAAAATTTCTTTGTTATGACACTTTCTCCAGTTTATAGGACCTCTCTCATATTCTATCTCTTATCGTATCTAAACTCATAGTCATGTATATCTTCTTAACCATCTCATGACACTTTCCAAACCACTTTTATCGGATGTAAAGTAAAAGCATGGATGGTTATGTAAAACGTCTAAAGTTTCTAAAGAGTCTCTCAAAGTCCAGTCTACTTGGTATTGAAAATCCCATGTGTTTATAGAACGGCGGGTCTACTATAAAGAAAACATTTTCCTTGTTTTTATATTTTTCATACAACTCTGTCCAATGACATCTCACAAACTCTATACCCTCAATATATTTTTTCTATGTTCTCTTTGAAAACCTTTGTATAGTTAAGATATAAAACTTTTGACATAAGTGTTTCAATGTCATGAACTCTTATAGAAACCACTATATAATAGTCTAGAAGATATACTATCCCAGTCAATATACTCTGCTTTTTTCAAAACCTCTCTGACAGTATTTTCTTATCTAATGGTATACGTTCCATCTTACCTATAGGTATCTTTTCTTTTAACTCTTTCAATATTTTGTTAGTGTCTGGTATATGTTTGAGACGGTCCATATAGTTGTCGAAGTCATTGCATATAATCTTTGAGTCAGGAAATACAGTATGGCACAAATGAGATATATAGAAACTTCCACCGAACAAATCTACAAATGTTAGACCATTCGGTAGTTTCTTAAGTTCTCTCAATAGAATATCTTTACATCTACTCTTATTTCCAAAGAAGGGTAACGGTGGTTTTGTAAAATTCATTTTATATACAATAAAAATGTTTTTTCCCTGAAAAGTGACAAAACATCTTCGGGGCTAGAGGGCACGAAGTGCCTGGAAGCCCCAATACTTTTTTTAATAAGATATTTAAACTTGATTTTTGAAGGAAAATTCACAAAATTGAATAAATTCAAATAATTTTTATTCAAAAATAAACTAGTTATTTGAGTTTAATACTAATTATCTATTCAAACTACAAAGTTTGTAATTTAAAATATTTTGTGAGATCAGATTGAATTAATTCAAGGTTCTTTTCAATTAATATTAATGACCATATTACGCATTTTCGAACATTCTAAACCAAATATATAAAAATGGGAGACGAATGTTAAATTTGCTAGACATGGGGGAGTTGTCTGCAAAGTTTTAGCTCTTATCTCTAACAAAAAATTAATTTTTAAAAAAATGACCGAATACGTTTCACAGCGAGAAAAAAATAAAAGGCAAGATAGAATTTTCTAGACATAAAGAAGTTGTTTACCGAGTTTTAGCTCTTATCTCTAACAAAAAATTAATTTTTAAAAAAATGACCGAATACGTTTCACAGCGAGAAAAAAATAAAAGGCAAGATAGAATTTTCTAGACATAAAGAAGTTGTTTACCGAGTTTTAGCTCTTATCTCTAACAAAAATTAATTTTTTAAAAAAATGACCGAATACGTTTCACAGCGAGAAAAAAATAAAACTTTACACTGATTTTAATTTTCATTTCCAGTCACTTTACTTATTTTTTTTTATTTTTTTCATTTTAATTATCAATTTTTTCATAATACGTTTATTTACGTTACCATTTTCTTTATTCTTTTGAATTCCATACTACACACTTATAGAATATTTTGATTGTTAACGTACTTCATTAGAATGAATCCTTACAAAGGGTATGTCGATCGAATTTACCTAATTGGTATTTCCAATCAGATTGAAAAAGGTAAAATGACATGGGAAGAAGCTTGCACCCATGTTCCCATCGCCCCAACCCTTCAATCAAATGATTTCAAATATTTAGATGTTTCAAAATCTTTTTTACAAAATCAATTTAGCTTACAGAATATCCCATTGCCTAAAGGCAAGAAAGGTCGTAGGGTCAATCCCTACGACCAAATCAAAGCTCTTGCTGTGATACATGACCACTGGGCCTTTCCCTGTGGTCAAACAAAACAATGGAAACGTTTGAAATTACAACAAATTGATGTATCTTATAGAGAAGTACGCAGATACTTCAAAGAAAATCATTTCACCAAGACGCGATTAGAGCATGCCGGGCCAGAAACAGCAGTAAGATATTGGGCGCTTTCACCCAATCTTATCTGGCACGCAGATGTTCATTATTTTAGGGGTGTTCGTGGCCAGTATATTTATGGCATAATCGACGATTTTAGCCGCAAAGTCCTAGCGTGTATACAAATACCAGATATGCTGGCAGCGACGACAGCGAACGTTGCGGCTTCCGCCTTCATTGAATTTGGCGCCCCTTATTGTTTCTGGACCGATAACGGTTCAGAAAATAGGGGAGCCTTTCAAGATCTACTTGATCTTTGGGGCGTCCAATGGCGGCATACAGACTCTCATTCTCCCTACCAAAATGGGAAGATTGAGAGATTCTGGCCGACATTGGAGCGCTGCCAAAGCATTCAGGCTATTCCTGCCTTTATTTGGGAGTACAATAATAACACACCGCATGAAGATCTCCCAATTAATCCATTAACTGGAACAAATTACACGCCAAATCAAATGTATCAGCTGAAACCGAAATACACAAATGCAGATACAG